CCCTTTCTGGCAGAACCAGATTTAACTCAGGCCCTTGTGCTTGCCAGGGAAGCGCTTATTGCACTGAGCCATCTCCCTGGCCCCAGCAGGAAATATTTTTATAGAAACTTACAAACTGATTTTAAAATGTATATAACAAGGAAAAGAATGTTTTGTTAAAAAATAAAACTGGGGCCGGGGAGACAGCTCAGTAGAGTACAAGCACAAGGTCCTGAGTCAATCCCCGGTATCCCCCTCAAAAAAAACCCCAAAAATACCTGGTGCTCACTTCAGCAGTACAAATACTAAAATTGGAGTGATACAGAGAAGATTTGCATGGCCCCTGCACAAGGTTGACACACAAATATGTGGTGTTGCATATTTAAAAAAAAAACCAAAAAACTAGAAGGCTTAAACTTTCAGATTTCAATACTTTTTATGACAATCAAGAAGATGGTACTGTGCTGGTATTAGGTTCATGAAGAGAACAGAATAAAATGACAAAAACTCCATCTCCCCCATCCAAGCCAACTGAGAATCGGACAAGCAGGCCAAGTTTATTCAATAGGGGAAGGAAGGTTTTAAAACTAATATCCGGGGGCCGGTGTGATAGCCCAGTGGTCTGAAGTGTCTACTTAGGCAAGCTTAGGCGGGCACAGGGGACCATGGTTTGATCCCCAGCACCACATGCTACACCAGTCCCACCCTCAGGGCGAGCTGAGCTGGCCAAAACACAAAACAAAAAAACCCCCACAGATATCACTACTACTGGATATTTGTTTTAAAAAGTGAAAACAAAAATTCTCAACCCTTACATCATGTCATACACAAAACTAAAACTTGAAAATGGTCAAAAGTACAAAACAAGAGAAATCAACAATGACCATGGCCATCTTACAACATAAAAGTTTCAGAAAGGAAGCTTTGGGTGACACAAAATGGTAGTAATTTATAGTATTCTCTCTTCCAAGCGGGAGGAAAAAAACTTTAGATCAGTTCCTAGGTTGGGGTTACACTGTAGGCAAATCATAATAAGCAAAAAGAGGGAAACAATAGCCCTGTGAGGAGCCACTCCAGTAGCGACCTGCCCAGGCCTCTGCGTCCCTGCCAGATCTCCCCCAAGTGAACAGTAATCCTGTAATTGTGGGCTTACTACTAAGGGTATCAGTAAACTGCCAAGAGTGCGAAGCATCTCGCTGCACGTGGCAGGGAACAGGCACTTATTTTACAGCAGCTTTTTTGTCTTGTGGTGGCTTTTTTTGTTTTGTTAACTAGGGACTGAAATCAGGTCCTTGTGCTTGCCTGGCAGGCGCTTAAGCAGCTGAGCCACCTCCTGGAGGTTATTACATTTTGATACATTAAAAAAAAAAAAAAGATAGCAGCTTTGAATACATGAAGACTAAAATTATCTATGCCTCAAAAGCAGCAAGTTAAAAGGGAATAATGAAACCAAAAAAAGGTGTGCAACAATATGTACAAGTTCATATTGAAAGATCTACCAGAAAAAAAAAAAAAATGAAAAGATATAGACAACTCCAAGAACAGAAATAACCCATACACATCTGGCAACAAAAAGTACAACTATAAATGATATACATATTTACATATAGAACTAGAAAAGAAAGTCTCAATTAGCACGAGGCAAATACACATCTGTCTCATGCCAGTGGTATTCCTTTTGGCGGGCACAGGCTGTATGAATCAAAAGTCTTCAAATATGTCTGGTCTTATCTAGCAAAGAAATTATTCAGAGTACTTACAATACTGAAAAATTCTAAGTACTTCTGAAGTCTTACTAGAGGTAATTGGTTAAATGAACTATGGAACATGCTTATAAAAAGGAACTACAACTATTAAATATACTGTTATTAAATAATACTGAAATACTTAAAACACATTAAGTGCAAAGTAGATTATAAGTTTCATAAAGGCAAAAGTTTTAAGTTTCCTTCACAGCTACATAGCATGCTTCCAGAACCATTTAGCATCAGTCCAATAAAGTCATCAAATATTTGCAGAAAGAAGATGAAAATGTTACAAAATAAGTAAAATAAGCCCAACACACACAACTCACACAAACACACTCTCAGTAACAAGTAAAGCCTAGCAATCACATAACATACCACATCTGAATGGTGAAAATAGTGGACAGTATTTATTTTACCACTGGCTGGTATTATCAAGACAGACTACAATCAACATGTCAGAGTTTTCTCCCAAAATATTTTTATTCACTTCTCTCTTAAATGAACCTATAAGACTGGAAAGATTTCCATGGAAAGAGGACTTTTGCATTTCCATGTAAAGCCCCTGAACATCTGATTTCTTTATAACTAATACGTAACTATGGTATGTGGTTTAGACCAACCATGAACCCACAGGAATATGACTTCAGGAAGACTTGCGAAGAATCTCCTGCTGTGTGGCCCTTGAAGCCCTTTCACCAGGCTCCCTCCCATCCCCACCTGCCATTGCCACTTCAGCCTGTGGAATTCTAACTACAGAGTGTGGGAAAAGCACAAATTCTATATTCACAACAGCCTCTTCATTAAGACTTTAAACATATTTGCTATAATAATGTGCAAATTTAGCTTTAAAAAAAACTATGTCCCACAGTCTGGGGCTGTAACTAAACACTAGAGCATTGGCCTACTAGTATATATAAGATCCTGGGTCCAATCTCCAGTACTGCAAAAACAAAAACCACCTGTTTTAGACAATTCAATTTGTGTTGATGGCTCCTCTAGAGCAGAAATCTCCAATTATTCTTTCATAAGATCTTACCTACAAATTCCCAGGTTTTTTTATAATCAGCCGAAAATTTTCGTAAATGCAACTGATAGAAATTCTCTTTATTTGGAGAGCTCATCCATTCCTGCGCCACCTACATAAGCAAAAAAAGCAAACTGAGAAAGCGAAAACATTTGGAAAGCCATGTTAGACAGTAAAACTTCCAAAGTAAGCAAGAATTAAAATCCAGACCCTAGAATCCCAAGTGACAACCTAAAATTATTTTGTGGCAGTTTACTAAAATAAGTCTAAAACCACCCTGTCCAATTTAGTGGATATTAGTTTAGTGAGACTGAAGTTAATTGAAACTCTCAAACTTAAATACTGCACTTCCAGCTAACAACCTGCAGGACCTGTGCCCCCAACCCCTTGGGGTTACTGCACCGCAGGCTGCCGGGAGAATGCTCCTTCCAACCACAGGTCCTCGGCTCCCAAGGACCCCTAAGGCTCCTGCAGAGCTCTGACTCCTCACCAGTGTCATAGCTTTCTGGCAGGTTCTAGGTTACCCTGTACCCATCTCCCAATATGCTAAAGTCCCAAACTCCAAAGTACCCTGGAGCATCTTCCCAGGAATAAAGAGGGGTACTCCTGAGCCCAAACTTACAAAGGAGACCACCAACATAAATCAACTGATTTTATACTCTGAACTTCTAAAACAAGCTATTTTAGGACTTAAGATTGGTTTTAGGGGCCAGGGATATAACTCAGTGGGCAAAGCGCCTGCCTGGAAAACACAAGGTCCTGAGTTGGATTCCTGGTAGAAAAAAAGGTTTTTTCAAACTATAACATTTTAACCAGCTAAGTCTTTAATGCTGTAACTGACCTCTAATGAAATGCATCACCAAAGACTACTGGTGTCAAGCTGCCTCTGCCCTAAACAGGTCCTCTGGCTCCCAAGGACCCTAAGAGGACATGTTTAGAGCAGAGTCAGTTTGACACCAGTAGTCCACAAATGTCATGCTGTGGACAGAGTGTGAGAGGACACTATGTGTGTGATTTGCTCACAAGGTCAGATTTTTATTTATTTATTTGTTTATTTATTTTTGCTCCAAATGCCTCAGGGCAGGTTTGGCTAGCTTGAGTTGTGGGGATCGAACCACAGCAACCTAAGCCTAAGGTCAGATTCTTGATCCAGGCAGTTACCATCACTTTGCACCACCTGATTCCACACCCACAGTGCACTGCACTATGGTAAGTAATAGGATCATCTTCAAAAAGGCTTCTAAGCTGAGTGTGATGGCACATGACTATAATCCCAGCATCCTAGAAGCTGAGGCAGGGGCTACAAGTTCAAGCCCAGCCTGGGAGATTTAGTAATTTAGTGAGCCTGTCTCAAAATTAAAAATAAAAAAAAAAAAAGACTGGACAAGTAGCTTGCTGTGAAGGCTCGGGGTTCAATCCCCAGTAACACTGGGGCTAAGAACAGTCTGTGTTCCCAGCGCACCATTATTCCCCATCACCAAACCTAGAATAAACAAATGGGCTAGCTCCATTTGGACATTCCCCTAAGCATACAGTGGAGTCCCACTTGACAATAAAAAGCCAAGAAATAGCAACACAAGCTACAACACAGATGAATGCTCAGAGTCGTAGTAACTGGCGGAGCTAGACGCGACTGCACTCAGTAGCTCTACACAAATGGGATGGTGAGAAAGGCAAAGCTGTGAGAAGCGACAATCACATTAGCATCTGCCTGAGGCCGGTGACAGGAACTCATTGACTGCAAATGGCACAAGAGACACTCACAGTACTACCGTGGAAATAGTCTAAATCTGGATGATGGTGATGCTAGTACAACGCTGGAAGTTCACTAGGAATAACTGCACACTTTGGAAGGTGTGTTTTATGGCATGGTATTTCTCAATGAGGCCACACAAATGCATCCTGCTATGTACAACCAAGAGTAAGAAAGAAAAAGGCAGATCAACAAAACATCACTGCGCACCCTAGACAGCACGGAATCCGCCTGCAACTGCGCAGGTGACCGCATGCTCCTCCCATATCAAAGTGGGGAGAAAAGAGGCTAAAGAAGAGTTCTGACGCCGGGCCCATGAGTGCTGAACCTCTGGAGCTACCTCAGAGAAACTCAGACGTAAATTCCTAATGAATATACTCTGTACACTAATTCACTGGCTTGTATATTTGATGTAGTGGTTTTATATTCATAGCCTATTTGGATCTGAAAAATTAAAAACTTATAAATGGCAAGAGCTAATCTGTTTTACACTGAATAGTAAGGTTAGAGAAATCCACTAGCTTAAGAGGATGAAAAATCATGCAGTCAGAAAACAAGTTTCCTGAATAAAAGACAATTTAGACTGTCCCAAACTTGCCCTCCACTAAACCTAATGACTTCTGGTCCCATCCCCAGGGAGAGTTTTTAGGCAGTTCACCCACATCTTCATTTCACGGCACTCTGCCGTCATCAGTGCAGGCAAGGCCCTTGACGGGGCCTGTCCCAAATCCCTGCGTCATCACAACACCCACTGTGGACACCACCACTGCGCTGTGTCTGACATTAGCACCACTGAAAAACCTAACGCCATGCATATGTGATATATATATATAAAACAGTGTGGCATAATAAATGGGCGCCGCCCCATCAAATTCAGGACCTGGTGCTTGCCCTGCAGCCACTGTCCCACTAAGCTACATTCTTGGTCTCAATCAACATATTGTTTAAGTCTTCAGGTACTGCTTGCTGTATAGTACATTTTCCCTAGAAAAGAAATACTGTATTTTAAGCATCTACCCTCTTAGCTGCTACAACTCTGAAAACTCCTACAAATAAACCCCTGTGGATGGCCAGGTGCGCATGTTCTCCTGATCAGCACACCTAGGAATAAGACCAACACTCCTGGGTCACGAAGGGCCACATGCTGGGCTCACCAACCCCACTGCGTTAGCCTGAGTAGCACTGCATATACTTATTACCACGGTCTTACTTTTCTCATTGCTGAGACAAAACACCTGACACCTAAAAAGGGAGATAAGGCTTGTTCAGCTCACACTTTGTAGAGGTTTCCATCCATGACGGACTCTCTCCAAGGCAAGGTGGCCCATGACAGAGGGGCAACGCTTCATGGTGGCAGAAGACAGCAAAAGCAACAAATGAGCACCAGGCCAGCCTCTGTCTGTCCCGTGTACTGTTTCCAGTCTATTACGGGATTAGGGTTGTGCCAATCTAGTCAGTGGACTGACCTGAGCCAGCATCACTCAGCCTTAACCCCAGCGCTGCACTACAAATCAATCACACAACAGATTCCTCCACCTCAAAAAACAACACAACAGGGAGATGGCTCAGTGGAATAAGCGCTTCCCTGGCAAGCGCAAAGGCCTGAGTTCAATCCCCAGTTCCGCAAAAACAAAACAAAGCAAAACAAAACCCTGACCATGAAGCTTTGGCAGACAGCTAAACACAAATAGTAATCATGAGTTAGGGTTTTCCTCTTACAGTCTGTTGTCCATTTACTGACTTCCCCATACTTTTATCAATTTACATAAGTTTTTTACATCTTCATCACTAGTATCTTGGAAATCTTTTGAGTATTTTAAAACTTTCCTCTTCTGATTGACCCTGAATACTGCAATCCTGGCTGGATTTCTTTGCGCTACTTAGAATGGGCACAATTAAAGCTCATGAAATGCTTATTTCTAGGCTATCCCCATTTGACACTGCTAGGCCACAGCTGTGAAACTACACAGAGGAAGGCTAATGCGGGGGCTTAACTGAAATATATGGCAAGTACACATCCAGCCTAACTTTTTTCTAATGGAAAAGGCCAGTTTTCACAGTGGCCCTTTCCCACATTTGCTCGCTGACTTGCGGTGTCCTTTAGGCTGTCATACATGCGAAGAGTTCATTCTCAGGAGCCATGGGTCCCCATTCTGTTTCACTGGGGTGTCTTCTCCTATGCCACTGCCTACTGCTATGACAGCAATTTCTCTATATTACACAAGGCAAGTTTGTCTACTACCCCAAAGATGCTGTTCTTTTCAATTTTCCTTACAAGTTTTAAAGTTTATCAAGCTCCTCAAAATACCTTTGAATTACACAGAATTTTTGGCTGATCTTTACAATGTGAGGTTTTCCCACCTAGGAACATGGCACCTCTCTCCATTTTGAATAAAATATAGCTCTTAAAATACAGCCTTTCCACGTTCTCCATAAATATCTCATATTTTTACTAGCAGGTTAATTTCTAAGGGGTCTGCAGTTTTGGTTACCAGCATACATATCTTTCATATTTTTAACTGGGTATGTATGGTATAGCACTCTACATGAACACTTTGTACAGAAATCATGTACTGAAATAGCCATTTTACTGGGGTTTTACTTTATTACCTCAATTTCACCTTCTTTTTCTAAGATCCTTTTTTTTAAAAAAAATTTATGTATTTGTGTGTGTTTGTGTGTGTGGCCAGCTCAGCCCACTAGGGGGCGGGGCTGGCTGGCATGTGGTGCTGGGGGATTGAATCGCGGTCCCTGTGCTTTGCTAAGCTTGTTCTAAATAGGTGCTTTAGACCACCGAGCCATCTCACCAGCCCCTCTAAGATCCTTAATATATATTCATTAAGCCTCTATCCACCCTTCTGCTTTTTATTTTCCATTCTTTTCCTTATGCCTTACGGGAAGTGTATGTCATCTGTCTAGCTTTCTCACTTTTCCTAGCTGTGTCTACACACCATTCATTCTGTTTACTGAGTTCTTTATCGTATCTTCCGTTCTATCTCTGGTTTGCTGTTCTTTGTGGGTTGTTTTCGTTTTGTATTTAGTACAGGGCTTCACTGCAGGATCTGACTGGACTCATAGTGATCCTTCTATTTTCAGCCTCCCAAGCACTGGGATTACAGGCGTGGGCCATCATGCCCAGTCTCAATCCCATCTCTGCACAGCCCAGGGGCGGGGCCCGCATGCCACACTGAGGACAGAACACTTGTCCCTGCACCTGCCTACGCAGGCAATTTAATCTACTGAGCTATCTGGCCTCTTTGTGGTTTTCCTTCCTGCTTCCAGTTTCCAATGCTCTTTGAAATGCTTAATGTTTAAAATTCCAGTCTTAATTCTGACAACTCCACTAATTCTGCCTATCTCTTCTATGCTGTTCAATTTATTTTTCTTCTATAGACTATATACTACAGGAGGATTCAAACTGGAACGAGATGGACAAGTACCCTGGGGAACAAAAGGCTAACTCCTAGCACCACCTAGCTTTGTGCCTCTGCGCATGGGCGGTAGATGAATAAGCACTTTAGCATTACGATCCCTTCATGTACTCTGGTGCTTAACTTTCTAAATTCTGATCCCCTTACAATAATCCAGCCCTAGGACTCGAGGGAATGAGAAAAGGAGTGGACCGCTCATGAACCAATACAACCACGTCTCAGAGGAGCTGAGCACAGGGCCACTCTAACACTATCTGCTTCAACTTTCTGGCCTGCTCCATGAAATATCAGAATAGTACTCTAGCCCACAGTAAAGAAAAGAAGAAAAACAGGGTAACTTGAAACTTCAATTTTACCTCAATTCCCCTCTGTGAAATTCTAGCCTGGTGTGCTTTTTCCCTCCCAAACCGAGAACCCAAGCATGCCCCAAGGCACCCCAGGGACTTCTTGTAACACCTTAGTCTATTTCAGCCATACCTGTGGCTTTGGCAATATCACTTCCTTGAAAAAGGAAATAAAATTATGATCTAACCTGATGCTTAAGCCCCACCCAACAATCATCTCTGACAAGTTAGGACCCTCAACCTAGACAGGACCCTCACCCTCACTCCAAGGTTCACTTCCTTACGGCCCTGAGCTGGGGCCAAAACCACAGAACAGGGCTGCCCCTTTGACCTGGGCAGAAAAACCTCAGAAACTCTCCCTTAACATTGAAAAGTGCCCCCATACCAGGTAGCCCTGCTAAGATTAGCTCTCCCTTGGCTGTTCCAACCCACACTCTACCCTAAAAACCCTATAAAATCCCACCCCCTTTTGTTCAGGGATGTCTCAGTCCTCTAGACAGGCAGCCTGCTTGCCCCTACCTCCAGTAAGTCTTCTCACGTCACAATGCCTAGTCTGGTCGATTGTGTGGGTTTGTATCTAACAATCTCTTTTCTCCCATATCCATTCCATTCTGAAGTCCTATTTTTTTCAAAATCTACTCAAAATATATTCATTCCTATCTACTCCACAGCTACCACCCCAAAGTAAGCAACTGTCATTTTCCTCCTGGGCCACTGTCAATCTTCTGTATCTATGCTTGCCTTTCCAGAGTTTATTTTCTACCTGCAACAAAGAGTGACAGGTAAAAACAATAGCATGGTACGTATTACAGCTCCCCAGCCTAAACACTGGCTGCCTGAAACTTCCAGAACCTTCTTGAACTAAAAAAGAAACCCCAACGTGCAACTTACAAGATTGTGTTCTATCTGCCCTGAAAATGCCAACATCATCCTTTAAAATGCAGGTGAATGCTCTCACTGAAGGATTCACCATTTTTCTCATTTTTTTTTTCTTCCCTTTTTATGACAGGGTCTCCTTATGTTGTCCAGGCTGCCCTCAGACTCCTAGGCTCAAGTGACACTTGTCTCAGCCACCCAAGCTGCAGGGACTACAGATACGTGCTACTAAGCCCAGCTCTGAGGTTAAAGTGAAATAGAGAATTCTGTTCTTTACTTGGCAACACTCATCAAAGAGTAAAGAGAAAAACCAGAATGTGACATGCTGGGGTCAAAGAAACAGAGAACTGCAGAAAGAGAGATGCATAAAGAAGAATTTGTAATTTACAGCGTTGTTCAATGAATTTACCTTTGACGAAACCTATGCTAACTGTCCATTAATATATATACATATATATATAAAATATATTTAGTACAGGGTCTACAGAGCCTTACTACATAGATCCAACTCACAGTGGTCCTCCTGTTTTGAGTCTCCCAAGAGCTAGAATTACAGGCACATGCCGCCACACCCAGTCCCGATCGCCATCCCAGCACGCCAGGGATTGGCCCCTGGGCACTGTGCTCTGCCTAAGCAGGCACTTTAGTCTGCTGAGCTCTGGCCGGCCCTATATTACATTTTAAAAACGCAGATGGAAGCCCGTCTCCTCTGAGAAGCCTTCTTTAACCTGTCATCAGCACCCTGAACCAGGACTGAAACTCCAGACGGTAAAGGCTAAACTGTATCACCCGCATTGAGAACTAGCACAAAACCTAAAAACAACACCTAAGCCAAACAGGTCAATTACTTTAGCCATACTCTGCAATTATTCAAAAGAAAAGGAGGAATGTGCAAAGTCTGGAAAGCCAAACGTGTGACGCATACTTACCGTTTCAAAAGTATTCAGTATTATCAAAGGTAAAAAAACATGAAAGTACTCTCTATAATCTTGAAATCTGACAGGCACTGGTCTTGAGATGGACTGACAAAGACTTGCTGGAGGTCCACACTGATCAAAGTTCAAAAACATGTCATATTTCCATTTTAAGATTTCTTTAATGAAGGTATCCGAGATAGACTGTGATGAGTGCACGGGCAGGGAAGCAGAGAAGAACTTGTCGCCAAGGGGGAGTTTGTAAGGTTGCCCACGAGGCTGAGGAACAGTGCACAAACCGTATGCTTCGCCCACTGGCTTCTGAGATGCCTGCGAAACAGGCTGTGGCACTTCCAAAGCAGACTGTAGCCCTTTGGATTTATTTTTTAGAGCTGATGAAAGTACAGAACTTTCCAAAGATTTGGAAAGATGAGCAGTTCGTGAACTTGAGCTAAAAATCTTGGTGGTAGAAGGTCTCCTTAGAGAAGGAGGCAAGCCAGGTTTACGAAATACATCTTCATCATCTGCTTTAGCTTCTGAGTGTCTTGAACAAAATTCACCCTGGTTTTTCCGCGTTTCCACACAACCTTTGTGTTTACACTGTGCGCCGCTCTGTGCCACCTGAGGCCAACTTACAGGGCCTTCCACCTGCGCTCTATCTTCTCCGTACAGCACTTCAATGAGTTCATCGCCCTCACCCACCTGTGAACACAAATCCATGTCTTCAGGATCGTGCTGTGTTAAAAATAAATTATCGTCATCAATATCACTATTGGACTCGGGTCCTGCCTCCTTCCGAGTTGCCATGGCTCCCTGATGCCCTGCGGGATCACCTCTACCTAAAGGGTCTTCTGTAGCAGACAGAGTCAAAATTTCATCTGTTGGCTTTCTTCCATTTAACACTCTGGAATCGCGCTGGTTCAAAAAACAAGTATTGTCAGTCACCTGAGAAACACACTCTTTTAGGGCTTCTGGTTCTGAAGGCATGAATTTCACGGCCTCTTTTTCAGTGCTACTAGACAGTACCCTAGGTCCTGTGGAATTACAATCTAACCTATCAAATTCTGGCACAACGACGTCAGAATTCTGTGTCCTACATGTCCCTGCTCTTGTAGCATTTGAGCCTTCGCAACCATGAGATTCTTTTCTTTTCTTGTGTGGTTTCTGTTTCAACTGCCTTTGCAAATGAAGATCCTGACTTACCAGCAGTTTCTTATTATTTCTGACGGTCTTTTTTGAGGTATCAACTACTCCAACAGTTTTACCATGATTCCGTAACTGAGCTGTGTAGTCTAAAGACCTCTGGGACAACTCAAACGCCCTCCGGGGAGCTTTTTTCAGCCCAAGTTTCTCAGCCACCGAAGTTGGTTCGGGACACTGGCGAGATTTTTTTGGTGGCACCACAGCAGGAGCTGTTCTACAGCTGAGGACATGTGAACTTCTACTCTGCCCTTTTTTGCCATCCGCATGTGTTTTCTTAGGAGTTTTAGAAACTGGTACTCTCCTAGCAGGTTTTGAAGGACAAGCCTTTGTAGGAGACTTCTTCCCGGGAACGGCAGTGGCTCTCTGAATCCTTGAGGGAGGAGTTGTGGTACTTATCTCACTACTTTTTAAATCGTTTTCAGTAAACTCTCTCTCATGAAGAATGTTAGACCAGTTCTTGTTTCTGGCAGATGAAGAAGGCCGTGGAGGACTGTCAGTTCTAGGATTTTTAACTCGCTTTCTCTTAGGACTTTTTAAGTCAACTTCACAGGACACCTTAAGAGAAACACTACTATGTGCTTCTACAGGTCCTTCAGCGTCCTCTGCTTGCTGCACCTCCTCAGATATATAACCTGCACCGCAGCCCCAACTGTCCGTGCTGTCAGCTATATGAGTCACACATGAACTTTTTTCCCTCTCTTGAACTGAATTCTTATTGTCTACTTTTTGATCCTGCCAAACTGAGAACACTTGAGACTGACTTTCAAACTCAAAAACTTGTGAATCAGAATCCTCAAACAGAAAAGCCGCTGTCTCTTCCTTTACGAGCTCTCTGTCTGCATCAATGTTAACCGTGGAATCATGCTGTTCTAGACTAACTTTTTTAAGGCAGGTTCTGTCCTTTTCAGTGTTCTCCTTGAAATGCAAAGGTCTTTCATCTTCATCATCAGAATCTGAAATAACAATAACTTGTCCACAGTAGCTGTCCACAACATCATGAACTGAGACACAGCTTTCGTTAGCTTTTACCTTTTTTTGCGGCTGGAATGAGTCTGGAGTTGTATCAGTGGGGAATTTAATAACGCTAGCTTGAGCTATTAAAGATAATTTGTGGAGGTCTCTGTCTACCTGGGAATCTGGTAAGGGGTCAGACTTAGGACTGATGCCAGGTGGTTCTTGCTGCAAGTCAGAGGAAATCAGAGCTGTTCTCTTACTCATTACTTTTTCTCTTGAGTCAACTATGGTCACTGGTTCCTTACTGGGAGATGTCTTCTTTACCAAAGTATCGGTCGCTTCTGGAACAGAGACCAAATCTTTATCATCACGACACTCCTGTACCTCACAACTATTTCCATGGGAAGAAAAAATATCCAGTTCTTCATTCTTTAATTGCTTCTTTTTCAGCAATAAACTGCTTTTTGGCTTTTGTTCATTTTTATCATCCACAACACTGTGAAGGTCTAAAGGCCAGCTGTGTGAGGCTCGGCCCCTTTCCTGAACATGTTTATCTTTTTCTGAACAGAAACTCTCTACGCTACATACCATCAGATTTTCCTCTAAACCGAAAGAATTGCCGACCACAGTACTTTTTCCCTGCTGCTTCTTTATGACATGTGATAACTTGGCACAGATTTCATCTTTTTCTTCTTTAGTTTTTGGTTTTGAGGATTTACCAAAAGCTTCATCATTTAAGGAGAAATCCACACTTGAGGTGGACACCTGTTCCAAAGAGTCAGTGCCAGAATCAGTCAGTGAATGTGTCGATAGTATAATTCCTCTGTCACCGCCTGGACCATTTTGTGAAGCACAAATCTGTGCTGTGGATGAAGAGTTCTCTTTCACAGACACCTGCTTCACTTTACTTACTTTAGTCTGACCTTTAGCTCTTTCAGTAAGGTGGCTTTTGCTGCTCTGCTTTAACCACGACTCAGCTGAGAGACAGTCTTCCACATTCAAATCCCTCACACATTTGTGCTCACTGCCCCTCTCTTCCCCAGGGCTGCTTGCTTTAATCAATATATGCTCTGGCGTGTGGTACGTCTCAGTTTTCACTGGCTCTTTAGAAAATGTTGAACTGGAATTTTCCAAAAAGTGGATGTCCTTTTTAAACTTTACTTGTTCACCTTCTTCTTTAAAAGATGCAGGTGGGGCTTTATATGTAGAAACCAGATCCACAAGAGTGCTAGCCTGAGGTACTTTTAATGTTAGGTTTTTAATGATTTGTTTTAAGCAATTTTGTAACTCATGGGTTTCCTGACTAGTCAACTGCCAACCTAGAGATAAATTTCCTCGAAGGAACAGGTTAAGCTTATCCCAGAATCGCTTGCAAAGACTCTGCTGACCGAGCTGATAGCCTTCTTTCAGGAGACTTCTAATCAGCTGCACACAAGCCAGCTGCACGGAGTTGGATGGCATCGAAAGCATTGACAGTGACGTTATCGCTGCTGATCCTTTGGAACCACTTCCAGCTGATTTCTCAGAGCTCCGTACAAATGCACTGGTCGGAAGCTTGGCGCATTTTACCACGGCTGCTACCCACTGCTGGGAACTAACCCACAGTAAATGCAAGCATTTTTTATTTCTATGTAGTTCAATCACTGACACCAAAATTAGAAGAAAAAATTCAGTGACTTTGTCACACACAGCATCTGTCTGGTTGAGGACATCTTTGACTTGGGAGTAGAGATGATGAATAACCTCTGCGATGTAAGCCACACCCAAGTCCTTAAGATCCATCAGAGACTGAACAAAAGGTATAAACCACAGAAATGTGCTGTTGTGAACACGCATGTCTTGTCCAATATCTGACTGCAGGACACTGGCTAATGTTTCCATTTCTTCATACATATTAGGACAATAATCTGGGCAAATGGCTGATCTCCATCCTAAATCCTAAAATGAGAAGGAAAAAAAAATGCAAATAGATAAAGTTAACACTCAAATTATAAAAAGAACATATCCCTCAACTTTTCTATCTTACTTTGTATGTGCTATTTCTAACATACATAGACCCCCAGAAATAAAAAATACAAGCTATACATCATTCCAGTGATACAGCACACCTACATTCACAGCGACGGTTTGTAATAACCAAATCTTAGAAACAACCAAGAACCCATCAAGCGGTGAGTAAAGAAGACGTGGACTTTTTTAATACGATGTAGTACTCTGCCAGAAAGAAGGCTATGCCCCACACATTTCTAGGTAAATGGGTGCACCTTGAGTCATACTAAGCGAAATAAATCAGACACACAGGTGTGAATATCACACTCTGTCTGGTGTAAGAAAACAAGCACAAATAAGGACCAAAGTGTATTAGGTCTTGTGAAATAAGAAAATATTCAAATGGGGAGGGGCTAAAGGAGAGGGAGAGGAAAAGGAAAGAAGGGAAAAGTTAACAAAAAAAAGGAAAACTCAAAAACAAAGCTTTTGTAAATGAGTAGGGTTGAAGAGAAGATAGGGGAATGGGAAAAGTTATATCACGTAGAGGTACAAACTATGATGAGTGATCATTATTTGTATCTAAAATGTACCAATAAAATCAGATTTAAAAATTTGTAAGCTGAATACTGACACCAGTTTCAATACCAGTCTCGCGCGCTCTGGCCTTCTTCACATGAGCTAATCTTGATTATTAGCATGGCACTCTTCCTCCTTATCCCACAACCTTCCAATCTTTCAAAATATACTTTAAAATGTTCCAAAGTATATATACTGTTGCTAGAATTCATCTTCCCTCATACACAATACATCTGTTCAATTCAAAGGCCTTTACGGAACAAGGAATTCCAAACAGTTACATATCATAAAGTCAGCTAGTTACAAAAACACACATAACATCCACACAGTACCACTAAATTCTGAAAGTGCTTTTTACCTTTTTTGTCTTCTCAGGATTATAATTGTACACAATCTGGCTACAAGTCACCATATCATCCAAAGATGGTTCTGATTCTAACTTGGTCCTATATTAAGAATAAATACAAAAATTACTGAAATGAAGAGGGAAAAAATGCTAGAATAAAAGTTGCCTTGTTGAGTCAGTTACAACACACTTCCTAATAGAGAAAATTTTAAAATCCTGACAAGGGCTGGGAAGACAGCTGGGTGGTCCAAGGCCTGAGAAGTGCAAGGACCCATGTTCAACCCCTGGCACCTCATGCCGTGCTGGCCCCAGAAGCCCAAGTGTACCATGTCTGCCTCAAACCAGGCATGGTGGTGCATGCCTGTAATCTCAATGCTGGGGAGGCTGAGACAGGAGGATCACTATGAGTCCAAGCTGCAGAGCAAGTTCCTGTACCGAATAAGATTTTTTAACAATCATGACATGAACATAACTAACCTGATAGAGCTGTTCCGTATATTCTGGATCTCTCTATTATAGCTCCTATTGTTGATGATGGTTTGAAAGGCCTCAATAGGATCAATAAGTTGGCCCCAGACTTTAGATCCAAGCCGGTCCAGAATTACCATGAAACAGTGCAATGCTGGCCAGAAAGGGTTCACGTTATCATCTGAAACACAACGTGACAAGTGCTGAATTACAGGACAATTTTCAAAACAGTCAACAGTTGAGGCTGCCCTGCCTAGAACTCCCTTTGTAACCCAGGCTGGCCTCAAGTTTGCAGTGTCCTCTTGCCTCGGTCTCCCAAGTGCTGAGTTACAGATGTATGCCATCATATCTAGCTCCTTCAATGGCTTCTTAATGTCTCCAAGAAAACTGAAGAACTTAGTCAAGAACTTAAAAAGATCTTGCTGTTTCTTTCTCCCTTTTTCATTTCCATAATCACACAGCATAACAAAGACAAATCAGTCTTTTCACTATTAGCACCAACTTTCAATATTCTATTCATCCAGAAACCCAGTGTAGCTGGGCATGGTGGCCCACACCTATAATCCCAGGACGTGGGAAGCTGAGGCAGGAGGATCACCAAGAGTCTGAGGCTAGCCTGGACTACATAGTGAGTTCAAGGTCAGCCTGGACTACACAGTGAGACTCTGCCTCAAAATAACAATTATTTAAAAAGAAATCCAATATAAATGCTTCCTTCTGCATTAAATATTCCCCAGCCATTTAATTTCATATGCTATTCTTCAACATAGAACCAGCAGCACTTTTTTTTTTTTTTTTTTTTTTTGCAGAACCGGGGATTGAACTCAGATCCTTGCGTTTGCCAGTCAAGCGCTTATCCTACTGAGCCATCTCCCTGGCCCCCCACAGCAGCACATTAAAAAAAAAAAAAAATCAGCCACAAATAAATTTATACCCACAGTCAAGTTACTTACAGAAAACTGAAAGAAGAAATAAAACATGCTTACTTCATTGAACTAGCCTTACTTCACTGAATTTGGCCTTAGCTTTTACTGAGTCCTTTCTTCAGAGATGAGAAACCCTTACTTCTAAGTATACATCTTCTAGGATTAGTTTGATACCATATAATGATCAGCAAAAGAAAAGTGAGATCTAGTAAGAGAAATGACTCCAAGTCTCACTCCTCACCCCTTAGGCTGGCTACAGCAGCACTGCCCAAGGGTTCCCTTGGGGAGGGAACCTTTCGTGACGATGAACATGTTCACTCTGCATTACCTAACATTGCAACCCCAGCCACCTGTGACTGCTGAGCCTCAAGATATTAAACTTGAAAGATTCTTTCCAACCTTTTTAAAGAGTATCTGGGGGCCGGAGAGATGGCTCAGTAGAATAAGCGCTTCCCTGGCAAGCACAAGGGCCTGAGTTCAATCCCCGGTTCCGCAAAAAAAAAAGAAAGGAAAAAAAGAGTATCTGGGATCTAAATCATAAAAAAGTTAATTCTTGCCACGCATGGTGGCGCACGTGTTCGTGATCCCAGCCCTCATAAGGCTGAGGCAGGAGGATCGTTGTGGAGTTTGAGGCCAGCCTGGACTACATACGGAGATCCTGTTTCAAAAACAAAAGAACAGTTGAATCTTTCCCCCACACTCTATTCTACTCCAACTCTTGCAATGACACTAGCATTTTCAAACTGTATCACCATAGTACTCAGAACTTAAGCAAGTAAAGTGAATTACCATCTGATTGCCTCCCCATGGTATGAAGGATTAACTGCATGAAATCATTTTGTTTGTCTGAGCCCAGCAACAGCGAATCCATGGCTTGTTCCTCAAGAATTGTCAGCAACATGCAAATCCCTGTAAAATCACACATGGTTTTGTTGAACTGATGCAGTAACACTAAAGTTCTAGTGCCTTCTCTTGGCCAAAGGAGGAAAAATGCCACAGTGCAAAAAGACAAAGAAAAACAGGACCCAGTTCCTCAAATATCTGAGTCTTGAATAATTAGGTACATCTGTTCTCAAGCAATAAAACTTGAGCATCTGAGTGTAAAAAGAGAAAATGGTTCGAACTGAAGACAATTTCTAAGACGACTATCACAAACTTGTACTTCATCAACTACTTTCCTTCAATTTTTGGATGTATCATACTTCACATACTACTTGAAAGAAAAAAACTACTGCCACTTACAATGTGTGACCTAAAGACTTGGATGTTGCATGTTGGAAAAGAAGCACTGCTGTCAAACCTCTTCCTTCCTTCTTTTTTCTTTGGCACAGGGTCTCCCTACACAGCTTGGACCTGCAGTGAGCTGCTGGCTTAGCATGCGGTACTGGAGATTGAACTTGCATCCTTGTGCTTGCCAAGGATAGCTTAAGACTACCGAGCTATCTCTGCAGCCCTCAAATCCCATCTAAACTATTCTTTTTTTTTT